ACCAGACTCCTTGTTGTTTTTGTAGATACAGACTAACACGGCTACCCCCTGATACTTTACTCATGCAAGTGGTCCCATTTAAATGACTTTAAGACTGTGTTGGGCTCATTAGAGTGATGAGATAAGTACTGCTATTAAATGGCTTGCACTTAAAAAATTTTCTGCATTAAGTAGTGTGACCAGTTATCATCATGTACAGGGAGTGTGAAGAAGGCAGTTGTCTCTCTCACCCTATAACCCACTCGTTTATTTGCAGGAGGATGTCTGCATGCACCTGACTAATTATTCCATTAACAAGCACAGTACTAATTTTGTCCGAGATGAAGATTCTGGAAGTAAGAGGTAAGAGGGAGAGAACATTAATCACAGCCAAGTGATGCTAGTCTGTTCTCATGAATCTTCATATGCATTTCCACACTTTTTTCATATATGTTTAAGAAATATTTCTTTCCATGCAGCCAGTGAACAGTGTATTTTGTGTCATTAGTTATATAAATCATTTAAAGAAAGTCAGATGAGTAACAGTGAGAGGCCAGATGCAGGAGAGAAAAAAGTGAACTCTCCTTCAAATTGGAAATACCAATGCATTTGTTGCAACTGGTGCTTCTGGATTACATCACTCTGTTTATTGTCCTTGGTGGTTACGTTTGGCTATCTAATGTAGATAAATCTATATATAATGATCAGTCAGGTTTTTTCCCTCTTGCCCACACTTTTCTCCCAGTCTTCCTCTACTTTTCTTTTCTTCTAAACCATGTTTCTAGCTGTTTCTACATAGTACCCTGTCCATTGCACTAGGACTTCAGTGCTATCAGTTTCTTCTTAGCAGTATTGCTCTTTGCCAATAGCTGCAGCAACTCCAGCAGTGCCAATGTTTCTTCTGCAGTGCTCTGTTGGTGCCAGAAAGGCTCCAGTAGAATGAATTGACTTGGAGCAATGCCTTGGTCACTGTCCAATAGTGTATGTCTTCTTTCCATTTCCTATCCTAAAGCCTTGTCTACACATGAAAGTTGTACTGCTCTGACTATACCGATATAGTTAAAGCAGTATAGCCCCCCTAGTATGGACACAGTTATATTGGTATAAAGATGCTTTATGCTGGTATAGCTATTCACATTCAGGAAGGGGGAGGGATAGCTCAGTGGTTTGAGCACTGGCCCGCTAAACCCAGGGTTGTGAGTTCAATCCTTGAGGGGGCCATTTAGGGATTTGGGGCAAAAAAAATTGGTCCTGCTAGTGAAGGCAGGGGACTGGATTTGATGACCTTTCAAGGTCCCTTCCAGTTCTATTAGATAGGTATATCTCCATATATATATATATATATATATATATATATTCTATTATAAGGGGAATAATTATACTAGTATAAGGCATCTTTGTACCAGTATAACTATGTCCACACTAGGGCTTATATTAGTATAACTATATAATTAAAAATCCCCCCCCCCCCGCAACAGACGTAGCTGTACTAATACAATTTTCAAGCATAGAACTATCCTAAGAGCAAGAGGTTAATTAGGACAGTGGTTCTTCTTTTTCATACAGGGAATCCTTTCCCATATATCTGGGATCCTCTCCCCGTCCCTATTAGCAATAGAAAGGCAGGCAGGACACACTTTACTGACATTCATAGTATGCTTGGTTGAGAACCTACGTATTAGTGTGTCTCCCATCCTCACTGTCTGAGAAGCACTTACATTGATCTATGCAAGAGTTTGACTAACAATTTGTTCTGTTAATCCTTATTTTTTTTCTGCGGGTATGTGGATCTCCATGATGCCCAAATTTCTATGCTGAACTTAAGCAGCATGGAAACATACAGAAAAATGCTTACTGTGAACTGATTTGCCATTAATATGGGCTACCAACTTACTTTTTTTCTTCATAGGAAGCTCTCCACCTTTAATAAGTACATGCAGAAGCATGGCTATGATACCGACCAGATGTGGCTGGATATAGAAGATGTTATTATTAAAACCCTGATATCAGCACATCCTATTATCAAACATAACTATCACACTTGCTTCCCCAATCACACTGTGGGTAGCGCTTGCTTTGAAATATTAGGATTTGATATTCTGTTGGATCACAAACTCAAACCCTGGTTGCTTGAGGTAAGAACCACAGCAAAAGTCTCTTAGATCTCATAACATATCCATACCATGAACTGGTATCCTTTTTCACCCTTCCCTTCCTGTGGGGCCAAATTCAGCCAAATGAGTTGCTATCACCAGCCTCTTCCTTAACACCGATTTTTGCCTTTTTCGTTTCTCTAGCTCTCCTAACAAAAGTCCATCCTGTAGCATCTCCTACATTATTCCATCAGCTTGGAAAGCTGATGGGTGACCAGCAGAGGGGGTGAGACTACAGATAAGCTAATAATAGTCATTCCCACAGACAGTCACATTGATCTGTAGCCTTGAAATTTAAATCTGTTCCTGCATGTGGGAATCCTAACTTGTGAGGACAGCCTTACTCTTCAGTTCTTTGAACAAAGGAATCTTCCAGGGTTATCCATTAATCTCAATGGGAGCTGCACCTGCTAATACCAGAGCCTGAATTTGGTCCTCACTGCATATCAAATTAATATAAGTTACTGATCTTGCACTGAATACTAAATTGATTCAAGCTACATCACTCTGCCACTTGCATCTGTTTTCTGCCAAATCTATCCCACCCATTATGTCACTTCTGAATTTGACCCAGGGAATCCTACTATACACCTGTATCATACATTGAAGTCTTGCAAGGATCCTTGCCAACACTAGATTTTGACTGGAATCCCCAGTAATCTAGATTTCAGATTAGTTTAATGTCCTGAGTTGTAATTTCCATTGGATCTCAACTGCAGCAAATAGATGACATTCTTGTTGTTGTTTCAGGTGAACCACTCTCCAAGCTTCACCACTGACTCCTGGTTAGACAAAGAAGTGAAGGACCAGTTGCTGTATGACACTTTGGTTCTGATAAATTTAGGGGCCTGTGACAAGAGAAAAATCCTAGATGAAGAGAAACGGCGAGGAAAGGAGAGACTCCTGAAGCAATGCCGTTCTCGAGAGACCAGGTGTGTTCTCATACAGCTTCATCTAATTTCCTCAGATTATGTAAGCTATAATTTTAAGGTGACCTGCAAAGAATGTTTTTTAATTAGTTTATTACCCCCCCTTTTTTTTTGCTTCTTCATGGTGTATACAGATGGCCTGCACAGATATTTTTAAAGGTTTTTTCTTTCCTGTTTTTTTAGCCTTAAAAATACCAGGAATATAAAGTCTGGTCTTTCCTGGCTTTGTTGGAGCGCCACTGGGATTTGTAAGGGCTGTTTATTATAAGCTCTTCACAACTGAATCGAAAAAGCGAGGGTGCTGAACGTTTAACAAAATCTTCCTTTATTCAAAATGTTAATTAACATTTCATTGAACAATTCGTTTAAAGTAACAAAAATAACCTGACCAAAAATTCCTTCCCCTCTTGATAGCTCATCTTTCACTTTCTTGGCTGTTCTGGTGGCATCATTTCACTAGTTCTTTAGTCATCATAGAGTCTTCCAGCTTAGACAGTTCCCGTATTTTTAATGTAAAAAGCAAGCAAAAAATAAAATAAAATTTCAGGCCCTCGTTAACAACCGTAGGGAAACCAGAAATACAAGCTCATTTTTTTTCCTTTGCAGATAACTTGTAACATACATTTAAAGATTATGTAGGAAGATACATGAGAACCATTCTACATTTCACCAAAACTAAGATGACAGGATTAGGGATGCAATTACAGTGTGAAATGAAAATAACTCCTGCTCTGGAGATTTCTCCGAGGGCTTTGCTACACTTAAAATGCTGCAGCTGCGCTGCTGTAGCGCTTCAGTGAAGATGCTACCTATGCTGAAGGGAAGGCTTCTCCTGTCGGTGTAGGTACTCCACCTCCCGGAGAGGTGGTAGCTATAGGCTTGTCTACATTACCCGCTGGATCAACGGGCAGCGATTGATCCAGCGAGGGTAGATTTATCGCGGCTAGTCTAGACGCGATAAATTGACCGCCGAGCGCTGTCTCGTCGACTCCGGTACTCCACCAGGGCGAGAGGTGCAGGTGGAGTCGACGGGAGAGCATCAGCCGTCGACTTACCCCAGTGAAGATGCTGCGATAAGTAGATCTAAGTATTCCCCCCCCAGTGTAGACCAGGCCTATGTCAATTGGAGAAGCCCTCCCATCGACTGGGAGTCAAGTCGGTATAACTGCGTTGCTCAGGGATGTGAACAATGTAGTTATAGCAACATAAGTTCCTAGTACCAAGCCTGGATCCCACATGATTTGTTAATGGTTATACCTGAATTTTTTTTTTCAGGGCTGAGGAGTATAGGAACTGCCAGGCCACTTGGTTGAAACAAGCTGAGAAATATGAGGAGAAAAACATAGGTGGTTTTTGCAGAATTTACCCCAAATCTGATTTGGACAAATATGATAAGTTTTTCCAGCACAACAATTCACTCTTTCAGGAGACTGCAGCTTCCAGGGCACGAGAAGAACATGCCAGGTAAGGAGGATTTCCAGCTCAGTTTTTATTAGGTAGGGTGGAGGATGCATTCTGAATTCGTGTTAAATAATAATACCCATCACTTACATGGCACTTTACATTAACTGATGATTCTTTGAGATGGCCCTGTCAGATAGGTAAATGAGTATTATCAATCCTAATCTGACAGGTGGTAAAATGGACACACAAAGGTTAAGTGACTTGCTCACAAATCCATGTCAAAGCCAGGATTAGAATTCCAGAGTTCCTGAGTTCAGCACAGAGCTCAATACTCTGAATCATGTTGCCTCTAGATCTGACCAGACTTGTTCCATATAAGGCTGAATTTGTAGCCAAGATCCAGTCAGTGGGACTGGTATCATCAGAACTATTTTAGAACTGTTAGGACCCATTTGTATCTTTATCTACAGACAGCAGCTACAGGAGCTGCGAATGAAGCATGAGCAAAAAACAGCCCATTTGCGAGAGAAGAAGATAGAGCTGCTGGGGGAGTCTGGATCTGAGAAGATAAAGACTTTCAAACAGAAGTTAGCGAGCAGGGCAGCTACAGCACAAGGATTAAGACAGGTATGATTTGGGAAGATTCCGTTGATTTTTCACTAATTCTCCTGCTTCTTGGGCATGGGGAATAGAAGCCTGAAGGTCAGAAATAGAACATGCACAAGAAAACTAATGAGATGGGATAATAATGGTGATGGACATATTATATATAAAAAGACTCCACTGGTGTTCACAAACTTTCAATTTTCTCCACTCAAGCAGGTGAGGGACCCCAGGCTAATCATCTACAGTCTTTTCATGTAGGCAAATATGTGCATCCTATAAGCAAATATTGTCACCTAGATCTGGTTGTCACCTTTTGTCAGACATCAGAAGTGTTTTCTCAAAACACTGCTGAAGACAAGATAACTGGTGCTCAATTCTCCCCTGTCTCTGGGGTCAGCCCGACACTGAGGAGGTCCACCAGGGGTGTGGTTACAGTATCAATCAGTGTGGCCTGTGTGTTTCTCTAACTTTATTTCTGGCATAAAATCTCTAAGGACTTTATGCCAGTGGAGGATTGATGCAGTGGAGCTCTGCTGTGCCACACCACCAAAATATTTCCTCCTTCCCTCAGCAGCTCACCTATACCAGATTGGTGAGGGGTCATCTGGCAATGGACATGCCTCCCCTAGGCTTATACAAATGGAGAGTTCACCTCCATAAGGGGAATTCTCCACTGGCCATTTACGGCCAGAATATGGCCCTTTTGTGCCGTTTGCACCAGGAAACTGGCCCTGGCTCTTCTGGCAACAGTGTTGCTCTTTATTCATATGAGATTTAATTTACTTTTTTCCATTCTCAGCATTATCTTTGTTCAGAGTCAGGACCTGGCGCTCGTCTCCTGCTTCACAGTTTCTCAGGTGAAAAAGAAACAAAAAAAGAATTGGTTAATGGGGAATCAAGCATCCCACCAAAAGAGCACCCCAACGCTCACGATTATTCAAATGCACCTGAAAAACAAGCGGTACAGCACTGCAGCTCCATGCCAAACTTGACAGTGCAGAACTCAACTAGTGCCCCGGACCAGTACAACTCCAACCGTGACCTGAGGGACCGCACAGTACATGGTCATCACTCTGCAGCAGATATGGACATCAGATTAATAGTAAGTAGCAGAACACTTGTAAGTACGTATTTGCAGTAGTTTGCCTATATTTCTATCTCCAGTCCATTCAAACATCCATCTCAGACTGGAAATGACACTTAATGTGGGCCCCAGAACCAGCCTACAAACTGTCTATTGCCTACTTTGCTTCAGGCTCACTGAAGAGGTTAATGTGAGCACGTGCTCAACTCAATTAATATTAACAGGGGAGAAGGACTGCCAAAATAGAGAGAGAACAGATTAAAGAATATTTAGGTAAATTAGATAAATTCAAGTCATCCGATCCTGATGAAAATCATTATATGATACTTAAGGAACAAGTTTAAGCAATATCAGAACTGTTAGCAATTATCTTTGAGAAATCACGGAAGATGGATGAGATCCCAGAGGACTGGAGCAGGGCAAACATAGTACCGACCTTTAAAAGGGGGAACAAAGAGGACCCGGGGAATTATAGACTAGTCAGCCTAACTTTGATAAGAAACCTGGGCTTGTTTAGCCTTGAGGAAAGAAGACTGAGGCGGGATCTGATAAGTCTTCAAATATGTTAAGGGCTGTTATAAAGAGGATGGTGATCAACTGTTTTCCAAGTCTGCTTTTGCTAGGAAAAGTAGTAATGGGCTTAATCTGCAGCAAGGTGGATTTAAATTAGATATTAGGAAAAACTTTCTAACTATAAAGAGAGTTAAGTTCTTGAACAGGCTTCCAAGGGAGGTTATGGAATGCCCATCACTGGAGGTTTTAAAGAACTGGTTGGGCAAACATCTGTCTGAGGTGATTTAGATTTACTTGGTCTTGCCTCAGTGCAGGGGGCTGGACTTGATGACCTCTTGAGGTCCCTTCCAGCCCTGCATTTCTATAATTCTGTTATTCTACAAAGGGTATAATTCTAATGGAAACTACTCTATTATATTAAACAACAGGATCAATATACTGCCCATTCTGTTTACACAGTAGCTACAAAATCAGCCCTTGTCAGCAATGATCAGATAAGTCAGACGTCAGAGCAGGACAAAAAATGTGGTGGTAGTGTCCAAGCCAGATCCACCCACAATTTCAAGATCCTCCCACAGTCCCAGAATAGCTACGTGTTGCTACTAAAATCAGCAGCAGTGAAATGGTTAATGTTGACATTTAAATTATCATCATTAGAGTACAAAGTCAGCACCCCATTGAGGTTAATGGGATAGTTTACAGCTTACAAATTTTTCTTCCAAAAGTATATTCAACTGTCATTTGCACCTGCTGAGATGGTAGTTGAATCATTCCTTGGTGCTGTCAAGGTGGCCGACATATAGTTTCATGAGCAAGGGAGCACCCCACTGAGGTTAATGGGATAGTTTACAGCTTACTAATTTTTCTTCTTTTTTTTCTGAAGACTCATTCAGACAACACTACATTATATAAGCTGGACGTTATCTCCTCAATCATAAGAGTTAAAAATGTAGACCTTGAATCTCTGTTTCTCCAAGCCTATGCTTCCCAAAGGAATGGAAGTGGGTGCAAACATGACTTTAAGGCAGTACACGCCCCAGAACCTTGGAACAGCTGTTAGCCTGCCTAGCCTCCAGCATAAATATAGCAACCTCGAGGATTCTCCAACCCATGCTCTGGCCACAGCAGCCCCATTTGGGTCCTGTGACGGTGATAATATATGGAGAGCAGTATGCTAAGACTGTCCCTTCCCTCCTCCAGTGTGCCCACTTCACTGCCTCTCTCCTATAGAGACAGATCTGCACTGGCCTGGGAACCCCCATAAACTGGGGTATTTCTGCCCCCTTTGTAGCTCCTAAGCTCCGCTATAGTAATGTAAAGGGGGTATTAGCATAAAAGAGAATCAGGCCTTTCGTTTTTTAAAATAATAATCAAATTTCAAATCCAGTAGAAACTGCTGGGGCCACTAGAAAAGTTTTGGTCCTAGTTACCACCAGGCTCAATCTGACTCCTGCCCCTCACTAACTCGATCTTTCTGATTTTTCCCTCCAGCTCCAAACACCAGTGGATTGTTCCAGAGTATCAGATAATCCAATTCATTCTTCTTCAAAACCTTTCCCAACATTGGCTCAACCTCGGACTGCAATCACAACAGCAACTGACGTGGTTTACTGTGACAGCACAGTCACTCAGAACTTGGTGCCATTTGGATGCCAGAGAGAGCAACTCCAGCCCTATGTCAGGGAGAACTTGACCTCATACCCAAAAGTCCATAGACCATACAAAAACTTGTTAGAGCCTGAAATAGAAAAGAAACCTATCTTGGTGTCAGAATTCTTCAGCAAACTCAGTTTCACACCGGGGGAGAAGGCCCTAATATTCCCTTTTTGCCACCACCCTCCTCTCATCTATAGAACACGTGAGTGTCATCTTCATGGAGCACATTTGTATTCTATCATCTAAGTGCCTAGTGCATCTCTGTGGAAACACAGGGTGAAAGCCCCAGTGTGCCTCAAACGTACATGGTTATTACAACACAGAAGGAAATCTTAGCATACCCACAAGTCTGTGTGTAAGAATACAGTAGATCTGCCCCTATAGTATTCTTACACTCTGTCCCTCTATCTCTTCTCCCTTTGTATCTCAGATTCAGATACATAGCCATAGACTCTAGGAAAAGAGGTCTGGGGTGCGTATTGATTGCAGAATATAAATCGGACTTTTGTTTACACAGAAAGTGCTTTCCACTCCAGGAGAATTCATCTGAGTAGCAGAAACTCCACAGACAAGAGACAAACGAAACTTCAGAGTGCTCAAACAGTATTCCAAAAAACTACTTGTCACCAGTTCAGCCTTCAGGACCTTTTGGTGATCTCCAGCCCAGGTCGAGTGGACCCGCGACCTAGGAAAAGCAATACCCTAACTTCAGGGGATATTCCGACGGGCAGGTAATGGGTAGAATCACACTGCTATAATATTGTAGAAGCCAGTAGCACTCTGGCCTGCTTCAGGGAATACTTTGCAGTTAATGGACATTGATCGGTGAGGGGTAAATTGCAGTGTGAAATTATGCTGTTTAAGTGGACCTGGTCAGTTTATAGATGTGAGATCAGGTTACTGCAGGAAATCATATTAGTCACATGACTCAGTCAGTGATAGTCTTTCCTCTGAATAATCATTGTATTAGTCTCTCAGATTGATGCTCAGGTGTTCTGTGCTTAATGGTATTGGGTAAAATTTTCAAAAGTGCCTAAGTGCCATTTTCAAAGGTGACTTAGGTACCCAGGTCCTTGAAGGTATATAGGCACCTAACTCCCACTGAAATCAGTCTAAAAATCAGTGGGAGCTAGGTGTTTAAATAGCTTTGAGGATCTGAGCTTTAAATGCCAATGTCACTTTTGAAAATAGGAATTAGTCTCCTCACTCACTTAGGGATGGTTTTTTAAAGGAATTTAGATGCCTGAATATGCAGACAGACACCTAGTGGGATTTTAAAAAACACCTAGGATCTTTAGGAAAATCCCGCTAGGCACCTATAGGCATCTTTAAGTGATTATATACCTCTAAAAATCTGGCTGTGAAAATTTTACCCAGCATCTTTTGATAATATGTAACACTAAAGCCTGGAACACATGGGCTCAATTAAAATCCCCTGACACTTTTTGTAACACCAGGGGGTGCTAGATCCAGTCTCCTTTCACGCTGGGTCATTACATTCTGCCTTCCTAGATTCCTGCTGTAGTTTCAACTGGATACATTCTTCTTCACTTCCCTACCTAAAGATTATTGGATAGTGTTGCTAGTGTAGAAAGCTTGCGCCATTTCATTGTGGGGTGACTAACGACTATAAGTTTAGCACTTTGGGATCCTTCAGAATGAAATAGGTGTAATCTACTAATAGTGTGATTGTCGGCATTGGTCAGTTTCTGGTATAAATTTGCATATAGGAATAGCAATGAACTCATGCAGTGATCTGGGACAGGGAGGCACAACAGAGAAGGTGCATTCCAGGGAGAGAGAGGGCAGATTTGAGGTTACTATATAGCAGTGAGTATAGCCCACAGCAACCTCCCTGTTTAAGGCTGTCTATGGATTGCGCAACATAATCCTTCACAGCACTGAGTGCTACACTACTCCACCTTTCTCTGAGGGCTTTGAGAGGGGTATATAGGGCCTCAGATATTAGCCTGTTATAGCTCTTGTACCCGAGCAATTCTCCCAACACTTGTAGCTTCTTTCTGGGCCCTATACACTGCTGGAGAGGTGAACAGTGGCTGGAGTGGGGGGCAGAATCGGTCCCTAACTGGCATTATGCAGTGTGATATCTGACTCAAAGCTGATCTGTTTTCTTGGTCTAAATTGTAGCTAGTCTGAAAGTAGAATGTTGAAAATGAGGGTGCTGCCTACTCACGCTACCTTCTTCACTTTCACCTATCATATGTAATGTTAGAACTTCTATGAAAAGTGCTAGGATGAATATATCTCAGTCCACCTATTCAATGTGTGTGCTGTTGTATTTCCTTCCTTACAGGGCCTGAGCAGAACTGTGGCACTGTTTTGCGTCCTGAACTCTGAGAGATGCTCACTCCTGTAGACAAGCTGTTCATCGGGAACTGACAGAAACATTTTGTTGTTTCTTTTCAAATATACTCCTTGGTGATTGCCTCCAGTTATACAGCTTCCATAGCATGAAACATCAATGTGTCACCAATGACATTTGCATTCAAAAAAAAAAAAAACCAAGTCAGGCGTTTGTGGGTGTCTTGATGTGAAACTGTCGTACTGGAACTTGATGTACATCTCTTCCCTTTGGCCGTGTCTGCTTACTGCCAACTCTTGTTTTAGTTTAGTGAAAAATTCTTTTTGTAAGAAGAATTCCAGTGTGATGTCTGCTCCATTCAATTGAACATCAGCCATTAAAGGGAAAATTCCCTGCAGTGAATTTCAGCTGCACAACTCCTAATAATATCAGCTGGAACGGCACAGCTGAATCCTTGCAGCATAATTTGAAAATTTACCCTGAAATGTGCAGGACAAATTTATTTTAGCTAATGTCGAGTGAAGTTCCAGTCCTGACTTTTAACAAGAGTTCAAAGGAAATAAAAATGGGCAGCATAGTGTAGAAGGGCTTTTACTTTTCAGAGCCACAGAAAGCAAAGGCAAAAAGCTGAAACAAAAATCACAATGGGTACATACTGTGGCAGAGTAGTGAAGATGCTTTCTATATTGACAGAAGGACTTTTTCCCTCAATGTAGTTAATCCACCTCTCTGAGGGCTGGTAGCTAGGCCTACAGAAGTATTCTTCCATTGACCTAGCTGCGCCTACATTGGAGGTTTGGTTGACCTCACTATGTCGCACAAGGCACAAAACTTTTCATAACCCTGAGCGACGTAGCTAGGTCAATCTTCATTTTTAAGTGTGGATTCCCCCAAACGTGATGCTGCAGGTCTTTAGATTCTGTAGCGTTTGTAGTTTAGAGTCTTCCATTCGGAGCCAGTATTTTGCACTTAACGCTCTCAGAGAGTACTCAACCCTCATAAAAATGCCCTTTGTTGGCCCAGTCTCCATCTGATTAGTGGGGACAAGGTCTAAAATCGCTGAGAGAAGTTAATTCATTTAACGGGGCTGCTTCTTTTTCAAGTTGTTTTTTCTGAACATGCATGTTTGATTATAAAATTCGTAATAGCAATGGCTACTCAGATCATGCTGAAAGCCGTAATACAGAGAGGATGGATGGATGTGGTATGGGACACGAGGGTGAGCAACGTAAGTGCTGCTAGTTAGGAAATGCATTTGTCTATTGGAGATGTGCTAAGATCTACCACCTTTTCATAATGGAAAGTCTCTTAAATATTTGCAGTTGTGAACAAGGAAATCCCCCTAGTTCATTATTAATTCTCGTATCTAGTGCCAACAACACTGCAGATCTGCAAGAAGGCTCTCGCCCTTCCCAGCGGGCATATAGTTCAAGCGGTGATTTCTACAAGCATTGATTTCATTGGGAGTTTTACCCAAGTAAGGAATGCAGGTTTAAGCCCTACACTCACAGGGCTAAATCCTCTGCTCTAAACCACCTTCAAGCTTGCACTGCTCTCCAGTGGGGCCTGCAGTGACCTCCAGCACAAATTAAAAAAAACCAAGGGCTGCTCTAAGTTGCATCAGCTTGTAATAGCCCCCAAGGTTCATTGGAGCACACTGCATTTAGGTCTTGCCCTGTACTTGGGGAGGCATGCGGGCCCTGGCATAGAACCAGCTAGTCTAGCTGTTAACCATCTGAGGATTGCTCCACTCCAAGGGAATCCCCAGACCCATCAGCTTTATACCAACTGAGGATTCCCACAGGCCAACGGAATCCCTACTGCACACTCAGTGCAGCTTTAAGATCTCTTTGGACCATGTTCCAGGATTGGTCCCATAGCAACCAGTTCCAAATTATTTCACACATTTTCCTCAATCGGAACAGAAGTGTAAATAAAAAGAACAAGAAGATTTCTCCAGAACAGGGAGGAACCTAGTCTGAGCAAGTGAGCGCTAGATGATCACTACTATTCATTATTTTACAGTGCCTAAAGGTGTGATAGAGCCGAATACAAGTAGAAAGAGAGAGGTCCCTGCTCAAAGAATTTACAGTATCATATTAGACATGACAGAACAACTGGGTATATTTAATAGTATGGGAGGGTGGAGGTGAGGAAGATCAAGAATTCCAGCAACAAGACTTAGTTTCTTGAATTAGGCTCATGTAATGGAATTTCTACCAGCAGGAGGAAGAGGTTATTTTCTTTCGTAGTTAATATTATTAGAGATTATAAACTCCTTTATTGTGGGGTATTACAGAAGGCTATTTTAAGCCTACATAGTCTCTTAATGATCTTTGATCTTTTACAGTATTAAAGGGAATGTTTCAAGGGAGAATATTTAACTATCTGAGAAACAATGTTTCTGTTCTTACAATTGGAAACGTTCAGAGGTGGTACAAAGGGGGGAATCAATGTTTTAACTTCTAATTCCCCCAGTGCCACCCTTCCTTCGCATACGTTCATGGTCTGATCCAGATTGAGATAGCTGTAGGAAAAGAGGCTACAAGGAAAGCAAGAAGGAACTTCTAGGCCATGATCTTTGCAACAAGCAGTTTCTTTAGAATTGGAAACCTGTCTTCTACATTAGGGTTCATTGGGCGGTTGCTCAGGAACAGCGTCACTTCAAAGCAATCTCTTCCTCAAAGGCATCAACAATATGTATTGAGGCCCTTTCCTCTGGGAGAGGCTTGAAGTTGCATGGACTTTCAACATGATTATAACAATCAGGGCAGAGCTGGCTCTCATTAAATGTTAAAGATGAAAGTGAATGTTTTGAAAAAAAAATATTAACCATCACATTCCATCCAGAGACTAGCTGTGGGCTTAAAATGCCCAAATTAAATAATTTTAAAACAAGATCTTTGGAAATCGCATTTCCTTGGCAAGTTCTGAGTTTGATTCCAGATTTCTCCTACAAACAGCACTTGGAGTCCCAATCCAGCAAACATATGAGTTTGTGACAGTGTGTCATTATTTTAGCTATGGATTTACCTCTCTTATTTGGGATATGAAATAATTCTTAATTTGTTTTTACAAAAGCCTCTAATTCACCATTAAGTTATCAGTACAAAACCCCAGGACTATATGTTCCAAGCTGTGAAACCATTTTAAACAGAGCTGTTGAATAATATTTATCAGATAATTATTTGTGATTTCCCCCCACCAATCAAGAGATAAATGGTGTGATTTTTTTCTCAATGATTTAACCAACTCTGATCATTAGCAACAGACAGATGTTAAGATCTAAAAGCTACTAATAGGGGCATATTAGAGACATCGATTTAGGGCTGCCACAGCTTTAACAACTTTGCAATGAATTAGATTTGATTAGCTTTTGGGAACAATGGAAAAATTCTTTTAGGAGTGACAGAAAGCTAAGTAGTGTTGAGCCTAGGTAATAAATGTGCCTTTGTTTAATTGCTGGACATTAAAATACTCTTGAAACATCCTCTCAAAAACACTTATTGCCATTACCTAACTAAAATTGACCTGGGAAATGACAAAAATACCCCAGTCTGGACAGTCTCTCCGCAAAAGAATTAATGGACACAAATCTGACATCAGGAATCATAATACTAAAAAACCAGTGGGAGAACACTTTAACGTGTCTGGCCATTCAATGACAGACCTGCGGGCGGGTATCTTACAACAGAAAAACTTC